GTCCCGCGCTGCTGGAGTGGAGATGCAGGGGCAGGGCCACTGTAACTCACAGACCTCTATCTCTCTCACTGTCTTGCTGTCCCTTTCCCACCCCTCTGCTGCCTCTTTAGTGGTCGGCCTGTGGAGAAATGTTTTGAAAAGAATGAGACAAACCGGCTCTATAGCATAGCGATGCATGATGACAGTATTGTGTAACTGATTTCATTCAGGGGTTTTGTGTTGGACCATTTACTTCAATATTGAATCGATTAATGGCATTAAATACAATGAAATATTTATGGTGCAGGGGTCCAGAGTGGTAAAAGGATTTGAATACATTACCCAGGGCACCAAATGATATTTTGAACTTTGAACGAGCCGCAATGATTGAGTAATTTTCTTTAGCCACAACCCCTGGCCCCTTCTGGCAATTTTCCAAGTATGTTTGTCAATTAGGGTCAGAGTAAACAAAAACATCACAATATCTAAGTGTGATTTCTAGGTCAAACATTAATTTAAATGTTATTTAAGGAGGGCATTAGTACAAATACAAGTTGAACTTTAAAAATAACCACTATAACAACGACGGTGGAGTAAATTTCTCACCCAAATGCTCAAACCTACAAGACAGATTCTGATCAACCTAGAAGGTCATCTTAAAGAGGTCACCTTGTTCTCTGTATCAGCCTCTCTCTCTCCTCCAGTTACAGCCCTAAAGGTTCAGGGCGGACCCCAACTATTCAACCCCCCAATATGCCCCCCACCTGTGGTACAAAGGCCCCTCTCTGCTCAACACAGTCAGATTAGGAAATGTCCAAATGGTCGCTCATATGTTCTCCTGTAGATAAGAGTCAGCAGAGTTCAGGTTACTCTATGATTAACAATGTATCCTTCCTGATAACCCTAAACCATCTTACCTGTAGCACAATGACTTTTTTTATTTACTCGCCTCCATCTGGCAGCGTTAACCTATGTGAAGACATGTGCCTGGGGCAATAAGAACAAATCATGCTCCCACATAAGATTTTGGTTTGGCTTGTTGACATTATGGTTGAACAATATGTTGATGTATACGGTCAACCATCTATCTGTCTTTGAAAGATATTAGAGATTCTAAAGGTTTTCTCTTCAATATCTTTACTTGTTTTTGACCATTTAAGGCAATTTTGCAAAACAGGGAATGGGTCTGTTTCATTTAATACACAGGAATAGGCTTATCTGGTTATTTTATCTATACATTTTGCTCTGTTGAATTGAGTTTTACATTATGATATATAGGAAGGAATTACAATGGGAAATTGTAACTGTCATAGAAGAATTAAACAGGTCAGATATTTGTTAGTCTCTGTTTTGGTATTCATCAGATTTGATTAGCAATATGCTACTTGTTAGATGGCTCAATACCCTGCAGTTTGCTCACTATCTCCTCCCTCTGTCTCTGTGTCTCCACACATGAGCAGTCAGGGCCCAGCCTGAGGCAGCCTGACACTCGTCCTGAGTCATTAAAACATCACCTCAGTCTTAATTATAGCTTCTGTCAGTGAGCTTCCCCGGACCCACTCCACTCTTTGATCAGGGGGCTGATGGGCCACTGCTTGTGTTGACCAGGAGTAAAGGAGCGTAACGCCAAGCCCCTGCTCACCTAGAGGAAATGAAAACTTGTTTTCGGCTGGTCGCATGGCTGGCTGGAAAGATGGGTGGACAGAAGACTGCCTGTAGGGAAAGGAAGTGGGCTTGTAGGTGTATGTATGCATGTGAATGTGTGCTTTGAAGCAAAGAGGTCAGTGTTTGTCATGTGCCTTCGCTGCCCTCAGGTCTGGTTGGTCTGACCTGTAATACTTAGCGAGTGCTCATGGTGTCCACCTCTGCATCGCTGTAGTTTTGCCTCCACGTAGTTGTCCCCATTAAATTCAGCTGAGGCTGTAATATTAACCAAAACATCCCGGGTGTTAAGAATATAAATATCTCTCCAGCACATCATGCGTGTATTGTTTTACTTTTGTCTCAATTTGCCATGTTTGCATTTTAAAGAGAAGGACAGACTTGAAACGTGGTGATTTAAGCGTCATTTCCAACCCATTGCGCCAAAGATGTTTTCACCATCCTCTTCTCTTCTATCTCCCTCTCAACTCTCCCTTCCCTTCCTCCCCCTCTCCCTCCTGCCACCTCTGCCTCTTTTGGCTCTGTTGGCTTCGATTGAAAACCAATGAGGCAACTAATATGTGGAAAGATAGAAATTTACTTGCTTTAAGTTCATGCGTCAGCCTTCGTCTTTGCTGTATGGGCCACGTTTAGCACAACAATATGGCAGAAGCAAAGACTGCCAAAGGAGCTGCTCTGTGCTACATGATGGTGCGCTTCATGCCCCATTTCCCACCAATACCCCCTGCCCCCCGCCTTCTCTGTCTCTACCTTTCCCTCTCTTTCAGGGCCATGGCTTTGGGACAGGTCCACCTGCAGGGGGTTTGAATTGAAATGCATTGATCTCTCACACACTGGAAACAACCCTATTCCCCTTATTTTTTTTATTTTTTCTTTGTATTCAATAGCCTATTAAGTGTGAGCTCTCATTGTCGGAACATGCATGAGTTTTCAAGCATTACTCAGCCGGAGGAATGGATTTGTATACATTTTAAAAATGTGCTTTTAATTGATCAGGTGCAAATTGTTCTTATATGAGGCCTTTCTCTAAGCCATAAAGCAGTCAGAAATAAAATGATTATTTCAAAGTTTATTGAAATTCCAGAAAAAACTGAATTTTGAATTCAGAAAAAAAAGAAGGTATATTTAAGTCTGTTTTGGCAGAAAGACTAAATCTGGAGCTGTTTAATGCATAACCATGAAGGTGATGTTTGTTTGAAGTTAGCAACTTGCCACCATGATTGCTGTTAAAGCTAATGGCTGCACTGTTTCATTTGAAGGTTGAAAAAGACATCCACTCGTTTACAACCAGCATATAACATCACAGGAACCTTTAGACTTTCTCATTCTCTGATATTTAAAATTCAGTTCATCTTTTCCCCTCTCAAACAGTATGCATCAAAAGGCTTTTTAGGGTAGTCATTTCGCCCCTCTCCTGTTCGCTCTCATTTGGCATGTTTCAGGGCACCGAGGCAGAAAATAAAGGAGAGGAAGACAGGCGCCTTCCCAGTCAATTTTGGTGTTTAGTTAAAAGGAAGGAAAGTGATTGCGCTGCTCGTTTTCTCCTCACTGACAGGCGACGAGCAGATGCCGATTAGTTATTGTATGATGATTTAGTGTCTGGTAAAGCTTTCCATTTAAATGCACCCAGTAGTTATTTTGCATAGTCCCCCTGCAATTTGCCTCAGCTCAGGACACATTGGCCATCGTCTTTTCCTAATGCTGTGTAATTGTTGGAGGGCCACATCGCTGGGCAGACACGTCAGACTGCCACGCTCTTTTAGGTCCCCACCATGACTTACTGAAATCGCTCCCGGCTCCCACCAACTGGAAAAACGACAAACGTCTGTCACCCAGGACAACTTTAGTGGATTTTTGGGCGTGGACTTTAAGGCTTTGTTGTGCGATGCCCATTTAGCAGAATTCTTCATTTGAAAATAAAATAGAAGGGAAATGTCACTCAGAAAATCAAAACTGGAAGATTAGAGGAGGGGAGGGAGGAAAGGGAAAAACTGCAGACACGTGATAGAAGCAGATTAAGCAGATTAAGAGTTTTTTGTTTTTTTTACAGGACGGCAGAATATTGGGTTCTGTCATAGTATCAGGTGTGTTTTGACTTGTCAAGCGCTATTCTTTAAGATGTGTCATTTCTTTCTTTTGCCCTTTCCCACTCTCCTTCTCGCTGCATCCCACTTTTCCCACCTTCCCCTGTGGTGAAGGGCCACGCAGGGAAGATGAAACCAAATAGAGGAGAAAAATAGAACATTGATTTTTTTTTTTTTTTTGTCTTCACTCAACTCCTGATGGTGTTTTCAGGTTTCTCGTTTTTCACGCATCATCCTCTCTTTTCTTCTCCCCGCCATCTCTCAAGTTGTCCATTATGACCTCACACAATAGTCTCCCCATCTGCAGTACAGTGTTTTGATGAGGTCTCAGAAGGTCCTTGTTATTCATCAAAGAGGAATAAAGTGTGTGAAATGGAGAGAGTGAGTGTTTTGTGTGTTTTTTTTGTTTTTTTTTCAGAGCCATGCTCCGGCTGACCTGTACCTGATGACCAAGAATCCAGAAGATTCCCCCAATGTCCCTGATGTACTGGAGATGGAGTTCAAAAATGGTTTGTGCTGCAATATGTGTCACCTGTTGATTTGTCAGTTGTTTTTTCTTCTTCTTTCTTACATTTGCAATTTCCTAATCCCTGATAGGTTTAAAAACATGTTATTTGTCAGTTATTTGTTAAGAAAGCTCAGAACTGACATTGAGCTCCTTATTCAAATGATTTTATTTGTTTAGTTATTTATTTGATTGAATGCAAATTCAGTAATTTTTCATTTCCCTTATGTGTGCATGATATACAACATTAAAAATGAATAATACAATTTTCACTCAGATGAACAAATAATTAATTCAAATGCAAACATCTGGCTTCTGATTGGTCTTACCGATCATCCTTGTGCAGTGTATTTGTTATTTGACTATTGAATGCAATCTGATCTTTTGCATTTGACCTTGAATTATTATCAGACTTCAAAATGGCAGGACTTGCCCAGGCTTTGTTTCTGAAATCAGTGGTTTTTGTTGTATATCATGCACATACTGAAAAAGAAATGTACGTTGTTTTGCGTGATTTTTATTTTTTTTTTATTGAACGATGTCAGTTGTGAAGCTCGATAATGCATCAGTAAGGGATGGTGTCCATCATCACTCAGTGTCCACTCTAGTCCATGTCTCTTCATGTTACTTTTTGGATTGGGTTACCCGCCGCAGGCTCAGCTCTCACGCTTGACACCGATTGCCACTTTATCACCCATATCCTGACCACCCAGACTTATCCTTAACCCTTCACATGCAATTACTTGGCTCCAAAGGCTGCCATGCTTTGCCCGGAGCCCGGGGGCACACACACACACACGCACACACACACGCACACACACACACACACACAGGCCGGAAGCATTAAGTCCAGCTAATACACCAAGCCCTCAGGGGCCAGAAAAACGCTCATTAGATATATTGCCACAAGGGCCGGGCTGAATAGTGGAAAGTGTCACATGTTTGCGCAAAGAGAAAATGTCAAGAAACATCCAAGCCTGGGGCAAATGGCACAGATGTCCCTTCATCTCTGGTCACTTGTGGAGGCTGCAGAGCACTAACATCAATCGGCTGGGAGACACTAACCCCTCTGATCACATGGGCTTGATGGGCAGCTTTATGACCTGTAATAGTAATTTAAGGGAAGTTCAGAAGGTTGGCAGGATTTGGTGGGAATATTTGCAATCACTAAAGCTACCAAGCGCAAATTTAAAATGCCCACTCAGGAGTCGGTGTGCATCTGCGCTGAAATAGTGTTAAGATATTAATTTACCAGTTTCTTGTAGAAAATGTTTAACTATAAGACAAGTAGGTTTGTGTCCGATCAGCTGGAGATGACACATGCTTTTGTAAAACAGTGATGCAGTAGTAAAGCCTGGTTTCGCGGGTTCTTTGCAGGCCTGCGCTCTGTTTTCACACATATTCCCTGTGCCTTTATTGAGCACCCTATGACAAAAGCTGTTTTAGTTGTCCACACAAAGGCCCGAGCCTACTCCTCCCTCTGAGCACAAGATCAGCACAAGAATGTTTCATTTCATTCCCCCTCCCACCTTTTCATCCCTGCCTTTCTCACCAAAGTTTTCTCACTGATTAAAAAAGAATATTTAACGACAGGAACCTTTTCCCCCGTCAAACACTCCATTCCCCATTCCTCTCCCTTTTTTAAGAAAAAAAAAAAATTTCATCCCTCCCTCCTTTCATGCCAAAGAAGTGGAGAGGAAAAAGAGACAGAGAGGAAAAATGTAAAGCAGTAATTTTTCCTACAACTGTGTCTGCGCTCCCATTGTCTGCACTGTTAGGCTGCGAAAAACTGAAGAAAGGGATCACGGAGAGAAAAAGACCCCTCAGTGAATGATAGAACCCGCATGATGGAGAGAGCGAGTAAAAAAGAGAGCACAGGGACGAAAAGGCCAGCCCCTACACTCCCACGTTCAGACACTTAATTTATTTGAACCTTTAATCTAATTATTAAGTATCTGGGAGGGGCAGCGGTTTTAGTAATGCATCATCCATACTGCCCCTCTCCTGCACCAGGAGGTACTTTTTTCTTCTTCCATGGGAGCCTCCACGATTCCCGCGATATGAGAATAGGCCATCAACAAAGCCCTTGTCTAAAAAAATTTGTCAAGTCCTTCACGTGTCATTCCTGTCAGGGCTTTGTAAGCACCGGCTGAAAGGCAACCAGAAGTGCTGCTCTTCTCTTCAAAGCTATTTGACTGACAACTGCAAGCATGCAAAAGTATGTATAGACTAGATTGAATATCAGCAGTTTTTTCCCCCTTCTCATTTCCCCTCCCTGTGTAGTCCTCAAATTGTTATATTCTCTCCTCAACACACATATGGACACACAGCCATGTGTCATGTTGGTTTCCTCGCCTCCACCTTTGGCCCGTGTTGCTCATTTGAAGGCCATGAATAAGTAGGTCGATGACAGTGATTGATGTGTACTTGGGTTAAGTGGCTTTGGAGAGGAAGTGTGTGTGTGTGGAGTGAACGTGGGTGTCTTTCTAAAACAACTCTGTGTGTGTGTGTGTGTGTTAGAGACATAGTAATAGAAAGATGGGTGATGAATCTGCAAGTGGTTTTGTCTCCTGCACATGCGCATGAACACACAAACACTCAGTGGCGCAAAAAAAATCTCAGCGCTAAAGAGAGTATGGGTAACAAAGCTGCGTGAGTAATTGAATTAGATAAAGGCCTGCCCACAATTTCACAGCTTTCAAATGAGTTGGGCCTTTGAATTTATTAGCCCTTCTCACCACCACCTTTTGTAATGGTTTTCACTTTTAGCCGACGACTATTGATTTCAGTGACTGAGATAATGAGCGCTTGTCAGCAGATTTTATCAACTCTTTGCTGTTTTTGACAATTTTTCCATTCGTTTTTTTAAAAGCTATTTCCCAAAACTGTTGATTAACTAGGTTACATTTTTTCTTCATTGTTTTTTGTGGAATATGTGTTGATTTAATTCTCTCTGTGAAAATAATTTGTATTCTTGAGTCTGGCAGGTAATGTCAGGCTGCTGTATCGCTATTACATTTCCATTCAGGCACATTTTCTGTTCTACTAGTAAGTGATGCCATAAAACCTCACACAGGTGCAGTTTTGTTTTCCTATAAACATTCAAAGAGACTGTTTTTACAATACAGCTTTGTGTTTAAAGGCTCCATTTATGTAATATTAGAAGAAATGAGAGCAAAAAACATTTGTTTTTCCAAGAATAAGAGTATTCTGAATCCTTTTATCAATTCTTAAATCAGCCAACTGTTTGCGTATTCCTGTGGTGTATTCAGTACTTTGTATTTATATTTCTAGTCGGAATGTTTTCAGCTTTAATTGAAAAATACTAACTGGTAACAGTGGTATGCTATAGGCATTCCCCCCCACATCAGCTACCAATAAAGTAAAATATGTCGGGTATGAAAAGATAATTTTCATTTTAGTAATGCATTACACTGACAGCTAAGTCATTTTCTTGTTATATATACGAGTAAATGTGCAGGAAGGGTAGAATTGAACAGCTATGTGCTTTACTTTCTTATCAATCTACAAAAAACCCTTTATGTTTGAGTGTTTGAATCTCAAACCTAAAAATGCCTTAGATTGTGACATTGCTTTATTTTGACCAACACAAGTACTAAATGGGTCCCAAGTACATTTTAAGTCATATAAACTAAAACGAATGAATAAAAAAAAGTTAATTCACATGTTTGTGTGATATTTAAGAAATCAACCCTTTTCCCTCTTTAGGAGTGCCTGTCAAGGTGACCAATGTGAAGGACAGCAAAGTCACAACCTCACCACTGGATATCTTCTCATACCTCAATGACATTGGGTAAGCATTTTTCTCTGGCTTATGCTAATGTCTGTAAACATTTGTTATAAAGCGCTTTCTATGTATGATTTGTTAGCCATCAGTTAATATCCAGTGTAAGGAAGCCCCCTCTATCAGAATAGTATTAAAGTGTCCACAGAGGTAGAGCAGTGGTTAAGTTCACCACCTCTTGAATGGTGTGTGTCTGTCGCTGCTGGCCTGGGATCAAATCCCACCAGAGTTTTCCCTCCTGTGTCTCCTCCACTCTGTCTCCCTCTCTGCTTTCCAACTGTCCGAATAAATGAAAAGCTAAAGGTGAATCGACTAATGCCAAATAAAAATCTATTTTTTCTTTTGAGCTTTGAGAAATGTTGAGAAATTGTTAGGAAAATTGTCATCAACTTTAGACAATTTCATTGAACTCTGAGAATTTTATGGGTGTCTAAATTGTGTCTGCTATGTTTTAAGTTGGTGCTGCTCTTTTATTATTTGGAATTTATCATAACGATGATGATCATGTTTTTGACAAGCAGGGCAATTAAGAATGTACTTAATCTTGAAGGCTCCTTATGTGGACTAATCTAATTCAAGGTTAAATTTAATGTTTGAGTGTGTGTTCATTGAAAGTTGTCTGGCTGTCCATTTCTTTCTCATAGTGGAAAGCATGGAGTGGGTCGGATTGACATTGTAGAGAACCGTTTCATTGGCATGAAGTCCCGAGGTAAGGAGTTCAAAAAAAAAAAATGTATTTTCACCTGTCTTGGTTATGACATTTGTCTCTTTGTGCCAAACTCATCTGACAGGCTTCCTCATTTACACTAACAGTGATATACACTGTAAATGCAGTGACATGGACATGTTTGCACTTACTCTAAAATACGTCTCAATATTTTAATTTACATCCATTCAAAAGCTTTCCTTTCAGTATCCAGGGCATTCATGCAATTTGCAGTTATTTTACATGAGTGCTTTAAGTGTCACACTTGCTATTCCACTTCCATAAAAGTGGGCTGGATGGCAAACACACTCTCTCCTCAAAGGAAATGTTTTACTTTGGTTCACCTGGAACCACAGACACTGAAGTTACTTCTATTCACTTATGCATGCACAAACATACAGAAAACACACACACACTGTGAACAAGATAACAGTGCTTATGCTTCACTGGATACAAACAAATACACAGTCGATCACATACGAGCACATGCAGGCGCACAGGGATGTTTTTGTCTCTTTTATATTTGGTATCAAAAGGCAATTGGAAAACCTCCTTTGTTAGGTGTCGGCATGTGTTACCACAGCTAACATGCAGGGGCAGTGAGCTGTTCTGGCCCGGTGTGGCGCGCGCACACACACGCACACTCCTTTTCCCCCACGACACTATGTGCTATGATTGGCAAATTGACTGGCCAACAGACTGTGGATGCGGCGCAACTTGGCAGGTAGAAATTGGAAAATGGGAAGCCCACTTTTCTCTCCCCTCGGCTGAACAAAAGATCAAAGCTTTTTCCTCCACTGAAGCAATAGGAAGAGGTGGAGCACAAGGTGTCCAAGTGGTTGAATAACTACTATCGAGTGTACATGTTGGTCTCTTCTGGAATGGCAGTCGTGTTAGCACAATAGATGATGGGAGGGATTGAATGGGGACATGTCATACCTATTTGTGTTGGGTCGTATTTATTTGTGTGGGGTCAGGGAGGCGGAGGGGATTGAAATGGTTCATCAAGAATGTTGTCACTGTGCTACAAAACATCCAACAGCCTGTGTGCCAGACTAACATTTCCCACCTGTCATAGTGCTGTCAGGCCACTGACCTGTGCACCGGTGATGGCGTTAGCTGAGGTGCACCTATCAAAAGCAGGAAATGTCTGTATCTTTTCAGGATGAACTGGCTGCCTCATGTCCAGTGCATGCCGCTGTCAAACTCAAAGACAGTGGCACTAATGAAAAGTTGTCAAAAGCTCCACAAATATTTATATATTTACTTATGTTTACTTTTCTTTTTTTTTAATTATTAAAATGATTTATACGGAACACCACTCTCTAAATAATATACTCAGTGGGATTGTCGGTCCATCTTAAAATACTTATCTGCTTTTATTTACGTGTGTTGCCTGTTTATGCTGCACTAACAGTTTGCCCAAAGGGTCAGAGGGGATCAGCTCAGGAAGAATTAATTCCTGACCTCAACCCCTTCAGGCCTGCAGCATGGTTAGCATACCTGCAGTAACCGTATAAAAGATTAAAACCTCAAAAACCACTGGGGGTGTTGTCTCTTTAAGCTTAACTAAACTGCCACTGTTGGAGCTTACCTAGATAGCGTTTCATTGTTTGCTCCGCTCTGTTAAGCTAGCTCTCTTTTGGAGCACTTAAGCCAAGTTGTGTTGGAGGGCAGTTTTAACTTATTTATCTGATAGAGCCAGCGGAAATGTCCCTACGTGCCCTCTGTGGCCCTGGATCACCAAAAAGCCACAAGCCGTCTTAGCTCAGGTGGCAACCTTTTGAGGCTTTAGTCAATTAGCAGCATTGCTAAGCTCTGTTTTTGGCTGCCAGCACAAAGTAAGTGCTTCTCCATTTTCAGATCAGGACCGGTGCCGGAGTATTTAGGGTCGTACAGATTTGAGCTCCACTGCTTACCAGATTGAAAGCGATTAAATAGCATTCATCTGTTCAAATCTCATAAAAGAGTTTTTGGAGTCAGAAGAACACCATACACATTTTTAAATTTGGCAGCATGGTGTTGGCTGTAGTGATGTATCTGTTTGCCAGCTTGGCAGCACTGCCTGCATCAAAGAGTGACCATTCAGATTGACAGATGATGTGAGGAACCATGTATTGAATGGGGGGAAAACGCTCAGTTTTTCAAAATGTCAGCCCTTGCAAAAATAGATGTCATTGATAAAGATCCTATTTCTGTTGTCAAATCTGTCTAGTAGCATTTCCCCGACCCTGCTTTTGTTTTAGCTGACATTTGAGTGACGGCTTCATTTCTCCTGTCATCTACCTCATCTTTTCTTCTCTCACCCCTCCCTCCCTGTCCAGAGGGGGTAAATTGCAGGGTAGGCAGAGCCCTGGTCCAGGCTCCAGGCTGGCAGGGGCCTCCTACCCTGTCATTTACCCAGGACAGGCTCATCCATGTTTTGTGAGCTCTGTGAAGGCCTGTCTGTCAGACAGCTGATGGCTAATAGAGCTGTTTGCTTGTAGTTAGTTCAGAACTGGGCTTGTAGCTGATGCTGCTATGATTGGCCTCTGATGATAATGACGGTTCTGCTGGTTGAGATAAAATTTAGGGATGTATAGGAAGGAACGATGCGTACTATCTTAGTATTTTTGAAACAATTTCTATAATTTGGGTCTCAAAAAGGTGGAAGGCTATATTAAATAATGAGAATATGGGAGAGATACATTATACAGTCTGTTAAAGTTGCATGCATCTCCATATTGATCTGTTAATTCCTGTTCAAAAAACATAACGGCTATTGTGTTTGGTGCAAATATTCATTCATTTTGTTGATTTTTCTTTTTTTCTGTGTTTGTCAGGTATTTATGAAACCCCAGGAGGCACAATTCTGTTGAAGGCTCATTTAGACATTGAGACCTTTACCATGGACAAAGAAGTACGCCGGATCAAACAGGGACTGGGTATCAAGTTCTCTGAACTCGTCTACAACGGTAGGTCCCCGAAATACATAATCCAAATTAGATTCACTTATTCTGTTATGTGTGGCCTCCTACTATTTTTATTCTTAAGCATATTGTGGTTGGGTTATTTTAAAGTCAAGCATGCTATATATTGATTTCAGGAAAGGTAAGGCTACTTAGAGGTACTGACAAAGAGTTACTGTTCATAAAAATGTCCCAAAAATGTGTTGAATTAAGCCACATTGTCCATTGCACTATCTCAGTTTGTAGCATTTACAGAATTGTGAGAGTAATCACTGGTAGTTCCTAGACTGATAAATCAGCCAGGCCGATATTAACTTATTGCAGATATACTGTATCTGTATTGGTGTACATGTCAAAGTAATAAGAAATTGTAGCATGGAAATGCAGAAATTGGGTAATGTTTCATGATTGTTTGTTTATATTATGTGTTTATGCCAAAATCTGATTTTCTTCCCCAATAAGCCAATTGGCCTCAAGAATGCAGTATCAGTCGGGCTATATTCAGAAGGCTCGACATCCCTTTGGAGTGTATATAAGAGAGGAGTGGACATGCTAAATGCATAGCGACCTCCCTGTGTTCAGTGTGTTTGCGTGTGTGTGAGAGAGCTTTTCTTGGCTCAGGTGTCTTAATCATCCCTTCTGCTCAGTCGCCAGTCCCCTGCACCTTCATCCACATAATAGGATCAGTGCCATTAGAGACTGACTACTAGGCCACTTCAGTTATACCCTCCAGAGACAGGAAGCGCGCAACACACACCACACACACACAACACACACACAACACACACACAACACACCACCACACACACACACACACACACACACACACACACACACACACACACAAAGGTGATACCTTCAGAAGCAGGGCAGAGATTAAACCCATTGTGGGTTTAAATCATTAATAACTCCGCAGATAGATAGCAGACGGCTGGCAACGGGGCTTATGTTAACAATCCACCTGTCCTGCATCTGTTTTGCATTAATATGTCACACTCACACAGACTATTTTTTTATGAGAGGATTTTGCAGCAATTAAGGGTAGTGCAGTACCGATGCAGCATTTGACAAGTGGAAGGTTAACAACAGCTACATCCGTGTTAGTGGTCAATTAATTGCTTAGTCAATTAAGAGGAAATGTAAAGTGAGAGTGAGTGGTAAAGACACTCACAGTGACATGTAGAAAGAAATGACACGAAGATCAAATAAAATCTAGTTGACACTACACTAAATTGGGGCCTGTGTACAATTGTCCTGTCCGACAACTCGTGCCAATTTCAGAGGCAACAAAAGCGGGGAAGGACTGTGTCTTTGAACATGGCCAGACGATGAGGTGGAGGTCAGCCCCTGATGAGAGGAGGACCCCTGCTGAGTGGGGCGTGCCTGACCTCTGAACATACAGACACGTCCCTCGTCCATCTGTCTCAGAGAATGACGGGTCAACAAAATGGGACAAAAGAAAGGGGTGTATGAACTTCACCTGGAACAGAAATGAGACCAAAGCACAGAAAGATTTTAGCTCGAGATTGAGGAAACTATGGGCATCACTCTCACCCATGTAGACCTGGCTGCTAATGCTGCTTTTCTCTTCTTTTCCATTCTATATATTTCCCAATTGATAACATTTTTAATAATAAAATATATACATATTCGAATATCAACAAAACAGGGATGTCACAGTGCCAGAACTTTAGTAGTCAATACCAATACCAGTGAAATTCAACAGTTCTCAATTCCCAGTACTACAGTGAAAAACAAAAAAAAAACAATAAATCCCAAGTACTTAAACATACACTCCCTTATTAAAACATTTAAACATTACAAAAAACAGCGACAGTGGCATGTATCTGCCAATCAGTATCAGCATACATGATTTTCCCTCACATTTTAAAACCAATTTCTTCATCATCTGTGTTTTTAAAAACGTCTGTGCGTTCTGCTTATAGTATAGTTATAAAATCATGGTACACCACAAAGCGTCTCTCCTGCCCTCCGTTACTATTAGTTATAGTTTTGTGGTCTGTGGTTATTTTGAGACTCAGTTTGTACTGATATGGATGCAAAAACACTCATCATTAGGATGAGTCCTCTTCCTCCTCTTGCACTCTCTGCAAGTGCGACCCCTTGCTTAAACCGTGTTAAAGTCTATTACAACATGTGAAAAGATGACAGTCAAGTTGTTCACCAACAAACTGTTACAGCCATTTTTTTTTATTTAAATGTTTTACTAAATGTTAAATTGTTGCTGCCCTCTTGCTCTCCTCAGGTTTCTGGGACAGTCCAGAGTGTGATTTTGTGCGACACTGCATAACCAAATCCCAGGAGAATGTGGAGGGCAAAGTGCAGCTGTCTGTCTTCAAGGGCCAGGTCTACATCCTGGGAAGAGAGTCACCCACGTCTCTTTACAATGAGGAGTTGGTCAGGTAAGCGAGGACAGAATAAAATTGTGTGAGTGTATATGTTTACGTGTGGGTCTGCGTATAAAAGCAGTGTCAGTGAATCAAAGTGTGCGCTTGTTCTGACTTGACAACTGTGTTTGGCTGCTCTGGGCACAGTCCAGCTGTTCCACATGTTCACCAGCAAGCCTGTTGTTAGGTCAGCTTGCCCAAGTTCTCCTATGACCTCCACATCAACATACTAAACCGACCCTGCCTCACAAAGACATCAGAGAAGTGTCAAGCTCAGTTCCTGGAGGGCAGACTCCGACCCTAACCCCTCCTACTGCGCCCCCGTGGCCTCTTAACTGTGGTAACAGTGGGTTTGTTCAGGAGCCTGACCCCCGATGCCCTCTGGGCAGGCTCAGCACTGACCAAAGTAAAAACCCCTCCATATGCCTCTCCATCTCCACTCCAGTCACACACACTCTGGTTGTACCCTAGAGTCAGAGAGCTAATGGCGTTTTCAGCCAGAGGAGAGAGGTGATTTCACTGGGCTTTTAAGAGGAAAGTACGTGGGTGTCATGCTAGTTAAGCAGGTCAGAAAGAGGGAGTCTCACACAGTCAGCCATTCAAATTTTTTTTCCTGAGATTTTTGCTTACCAAAATAAGTCTGAGTGAATATTTTGTCCTGTGTGAGCGAGAGACACATAAAGATTGCACTGTACTCTTAGACTTTTTTTTTAACCCATATTGTATTCGCTTGTTCTGTACTGTCTTCAGTAAAACGTTTAATAACTAACTGCTGAGTCACGCTCAAGATAAATTACGACTCACTGATCACTCAACCAGTGAGTTGCTAAGAAACTCTCACTGATGGAGGCGTGTGCTCTCAGTTCAACACCTGACTTTGTAGAGACGTGGTTCTTAGCTGGGACGACACACGAGTGCGACAGAGGTTCTGTGTTTCCTGTGTTGCAGCTTTACAAAGCCCTCGAGGCCACTGACAGATGGGCGCAGTGGTTCCTCTAAGGGGGGCACATCACAAACAGCCCAATCAAAAACCATCACAAATTAGTCTCAAACATAGTCGCACGCAGTGAATACCATGTTTATTGAGAGAATACTCAGTTGTCATTGGCTTGACGATGGGTGTTTTCAAGTATCCGTATACTTTCTTAAATAAACCCAATCAGGCATGCAAACACACAAATATGGCTGCAACTAATATTTTTTTATAAACCTGAATTTCCTCAATTGATTAATTGTTTTTACTATAACAATATTGGATTCTTTTAACCTATAGTCCAAAATATTCAGTCTGCTGTCATATATGACAAAGAAAAGCATCAAATCCTCATTTAGAACCAACAGATCGTTGTTCTTACTTGGCATTTTTGCTTGAAAAATGATGAATTATGAATTAATGATGATAATGAATTTCAATTATTATAATAGCTGCACATTGATTCTCAGTTGATTGACTAATTGATTAATGATCTAATTGTTTCAGCTCTACATGGCATACACAGTACTCTGTCATGATTTCTCCTTCGTGTGGAAGCAGTAAAGTAACTTTACTTAAAAGTAAATGTAAAAGTTGGCAAATGCTGTGCCAACTGGAGCCTGACCTATACTGGATTTTTTAATGGCCAGCACCAGTGTTGATATTGTGAGAGACATTTTTTGCATGGGTTTTTTTTTATATATAAATAATAAATAATAAATAAACTATAAATAAAACTACAAATAAATCAGAAATATATGTAACTTAAATCAATCAATGTAAGAATTATGATTTTAGCTGTCCACTAGCACTTACTATGCAATTTATCTCTCCTCATTTCTTGACAGCTCTGTCCTGTTCACTGTATAAAAGAGGCATAAAATGCTCAAAAAAAGCAAATGTACATAAAAGTGAATTGTTTGTAAGATGTATTACTGCATTCGGGTTAGGGTTAGGGAGCAGCATGTGTATGAATAGAACAAAAGAGTGTGTATTGATCGGTGATA